TGGGTCATCCAGCGTTCCACCAAGGTTTGGGGCCTTGAATGATCCATCTTCGGTGCCTCCCGCTCCTATGCCTTCCGCTCCGATGCCTCTTGCTCCAATGCCTTCTGCTCCGAGACCTCCTGTTCCGATGCCTCCTGCTCCGATGCCTCTTGCTCCGAGAGTGTTGCCACGTAGTGGGGCCTCACGTACTCAACCTTTGTAAAGGCTCCATCTTTCTGCCATGTTTAGATACAATTGTAATTTATCGAAAAAAAATCAATGAACAAGCAAAAGTTTTATTTACTGTATTGGGTTGCCTCCCAAGTAGCGCTTTCTTTTACGTCTTGCAGCCGGACGAAGAACCCAATCACTCCAGGATATGTTCACGAATCGGATGAGAACTCCGAGTCATGAACTAGTACCTAAAACAAGAAACAAAACAAATTTAAGAATCTGGAAAAATAAAAACAAACGAAAATAAAACAATCCAAGGGATTAGCAAAGTTGCTAATCCCCGGCAACGGCGCCAAAATTTGATGCGAGAATTACTTGACACTCAAATTAAACCCTCTTTTTGTTAATTGTAGTAAGTACGTAAGTAGGGATCGTTCTGGACCGGGGATTAGGAGGGATTGTTAATCTCTTGGAAACTGACTCAAAACGTAAAAACAATATAAAACACTAAACTAGACTCAAAGAATGTGAAACTAAACGTTAAAACACTAAGACAAACCAAAAGACTCAAAATGCTTTAAAAACACAAACTAAATTGATTTCTAACTAAATTGAACATTAAAGCAAAAAGGGGGATTGAGGTTTGACGAAAATTGAAATAACGAAACAAGTTAATAAACTAGACAGAATGTAAATATGAAATTGATGAAATGGAATGAATGGATGCTAGCCAAGGGGTTTATCTCCACACATGTTATACTTGCATACAAAACGATTTCTAATTGCTTTTCTCTAAACCATGAATTCTCAACGCCCCGGGTTAATTAGGTCCGCTTAAATTAACCGTCAAGTTTTCCTTAAGTTAATGAATTGGATGATTGCATACGACAACCCAAAGCATTCCTCACAAGTTCCCTACATGAATTGCATAATAGAGATACAAGCAAGAATCATTAAGCATCATGAAAACTATAAGTGTTGACGAGGCATTCGTTACTATGATTGCATGAAACTTATGCCAAGAATTTGTTTAACGCGATTGTTTATAAGCAACCTCCACTACTTGTGAATATAAGTTCATAACTATTACGTGAAACTTACTTATATTCTAGCGTCAAATTCATGCATGAAAATTAAGCGTTCATTCTTAATAAACATACATAAATAGGATATCAATCAAATAGTTAAACAAATTGAATTCACAACTTATGAAACGTAATTAAAAGTAATCAAATCATATTGCAAGCATAAACATATATTTCGAATCACCCCCTAGCTAAGGGGGGTTTAGTTCCTCATAACTTTGAAATCAAAGAAACACCTAAACATTCCAACAACTCAAAACTTTGAATTGTATGAACGTTTAAGCACTCTTTTCTTCCATTTCTCATACGTACAAAACAAAGAGAATTAAAATGAAACTTTGAAATCAAAGAAACACCTAAACATTCCAACAACTCAAAACTTGAATTGTATGAACGTTTAGGCACTCTTCTCTTCCTTGTTGTTGTAGCACAAGGTTTAAGGATAGGTTGGTTGGGGGGATGGAAGTGTTGGGGAATTATGGAAATGGATGAGGATTGGTGGAAATGGAAGATGGTTTTTGGATTCTAAGGGAGAAAGGAATGTGTTTGTGGTGTGTTGTTGTGTTGTGAATGAGATGATTTTTGAATGAATGAATGCAAGGGTATTTATAGGAGGAGTGGAGATGTATATGGCTATTTGTTTAAGGTGTTTGTGGTTGCAATGATGAAGAATTGCATGTGGAAATAAAAGGGAAAATGTGGTGAAATGATGAAGTAGGAAGGTGGAAATGCATGTGAGATGTTGGAAAGGAAATGAGAATATGAGTAGGCCATGGCATGTGAGTTGTTTTGTTGGTGTAAATGTGCCATGGTTGCAATGATGAAGAATAAAGGGTGCATGTGGGGTGGAATTGAATGAATGCAAAGTGAATGAATAATGAAATGAGTTAAAGAGGGAGAATGTGGTGAAATGATGAAGTAGGAAGGTGGAAATGCATGTGACTTGTTTGTGGAATAAAGAATGAATGGTGGAATGATGAAGAGTTGCATAAAGAATGCATGTAGGGTTAGCTAGGTTGGCTTTGTTTGGGTGCATGTGTGTTAATGGTGGTTTTGCATGTGAATTGATGGATTGTTTTTGATGGAATGGATGGTTCTTTGCATGGCTTTTGAAGTGATTGTGGGATTTGGAATTGGAAGGAAATGCATGGCCTTGGGGTTGGTTTAAGAGAGAATGGGCTAGGCCCTTTGTTTTATGTCCAAAATGAATACAAGGCCTTCAAATTCGTCCAACACTTTGGCTCCAATCATATGCTATCCATTCCAAGCCCAATTTTGCTCCAAAATGCTCCAAAATGCATCTTTTTGCTTCCTTAGCCATATGAACCTAAAAACACACGAAAATGGCTTAAACTACTAAAACAACTATGAATTAACAACATAGATGCACGAAAACAAGCTAAGTAAGTCGCCTAAATATGCTCCTATCAAGGCTTCTCTTAGAGAGTGCACAAACTGGCTTACAACACTCACTGCTTACACAATGTCGTGTCTACTGTGAGTTAGGTAGAATAATCGCGCAACCAACCTCTAATAGTGGTCTTTGTTAGTTGAAATTTGGTCAGGGTACACGACAAGATGATGGTTTTGAATGATAGGAGTGTCAACTAGTTTACAGTCAAGCATTCCGATTTCTGTCAACAAATCCAAAACATATTTCCTTTGAGATAGAAAGATGCCTTGTTTCTGCCGAGCCACTTCCATACCCAAAAAATACTTAAGCCCGCCAAGATCTTTCATCTCGATCTCGGTTGCCAAGTAATCTTTTAACTTCAAGATTTCTTCCTTATCATTGCCTATAACAAACATATTAATGAGTGGTGTTAACTACTCATTCTACATTTGATAGTGCATGGTCGGAATTGCTTTGCCTGAACCCATACTTTATCATGGCTGTTCGGAACCTCCCAAACCACGCCCGAGGTGATGGTTTCGGTAGATACAATGCCTTGTTCAATTTGCATACTACTCCTTGTTTTGATACTGATGTGTACCTTGACGGGATATCAATGTACACCCCTTCCGTAAGATTCCAGTGTAAAAATGTATTTTTCACATCAAGTTGTTGTATTAGCCAATCTAAATAAACTGCCAAAGAAAGCAACACTCTAACTGTATTGATCTCTACCGGAGCAAATGCTTCTGTATAATCAACGTCATATGTATGAGTATAACCCTTGGCCACTAGTCGTGCCTTGTACCTTTCAAGCTAATGCAGAAGGAATGAACAATATAAAACCATTGAGCTACCTGCTTTTACTAAGTCCTCGGAAGAACTTCACAATGAAAAAAGTAAACGGTATTCCCCATAATTTTAACCAACTGCGATTGGAACCACGAAAAGGACAATCTTGAACAGTTCTTCATACAACCTCAAAATTGTGGTAAAGAAAGAAACATTCAAATGAAAAAATAAAAGAAGGAAAAATAAAAAATAAAAAATAAACTCAAATATATATTAAAATTTCAAATATTTTAGTGATAAAATTTGACAACGATAAGAACCAGAGTTTAACAAACTGATCCAGCTGAGAAGATCTGCCTGACGTTGCACCATTTTGTATAAGGTAATGCTAGTGAGATTAAATTGGTAGATTAATATTATAAATTAAATGATATAGAAATTGATGATTAAATTATTACTTAAGTATTGATTAACTACTGATCTTCCATAACAGGGTAGTGGGCAGACTAGATGTTTTATTAATTAATAGATCACTCATTGTAGATTTGCTTTTTGTTTTCTCTATTGAGAGAGTAAAGTACATGTTACACATATCTTTCAAGTGAAAACTTTCTGGAAAGTTATTGCATTCAGCGCCTCATTTTCATAGATTTGAAATTTTGTATGGACGCTAACAGAAAAGTGGATGGGCTACTGGAAAGGAAAGAGGCAGATTTTGTGTTATGGCTTGGGACATAGGCAAGCTGAGAATTGCGGCTAGTTTTGGGTTTACATTTGTTTATGTTCTTGTACTTTTTTATTTTTATGTTTAATTTCCTTATGGTTTTTGTACAGTATGTATACAGAGTTTCAACAAATGATATTAAGACTTCTATTTGGTATGTGTGAAGGAGTTTGCTTTTGATTTTCGAGACATGCTTCTGCTCATCCCTTTCTCGATACAATTGGTACGAAAGCCCTATTCAAGTGGGCATGTTTTGCCAGAGTATAGTATTTGTTAGATAGGGAAATACAATACTAGGGTTGTAGGTGAATATGTTGGAGCTTTCTTACCATCTGCAAGCATATGAATGCGAACTTGTTCATATGGAGTTGTGGGATTATTGGAAGCAGATTTTTGGTAACATACTGGATTGAGATGGAAAGCATGCATGCGTTTGTCTGGCGTTTCCTCCTTTCGACTGTTGTTTGAAGTTTTGTATTGAGGCTATTTGTGGTAATTTAATTTAAGTAACCATAGTAATTCAATTAAAATAATAAATTATGTTTGGCCCTATGGTCTTTTAGCCCCTTCAGTTTGAGATGGTTTTTTGTCACAAGGTTATGTTTGGCCTATGGCCCTTTAGCCCCTCGATTGGAGATAGTAAGAAAAATGGCCTGACTTCGAGGGCTATAGGGCCAAAGAGAGCCCTCTAGCCCTCCTTCGGTTGGAGATGAGCAACCGAAGGAGGGTCAGAGGGCTCGTTTTAGCTCTCTGTCTCTCCAAGAAATTAATAATTTAATAAATAGTGCATGATCATATTTCTTACTATCTCCAACCGAGGGGCCAGAGGGCCACGGCCAAACATAGCTTAGCTTTAAAACACCAAATGCATTATGGAATTTAATATGCTCAGTAGTCTACTTCATTAAATTTGTATTTCCGCACATCTTCCGAGCAGATTGCAAATCTTCTGGGATGTACTTCATGGACGGGGGCTGGTCCGGGGCTAATGGATGCTGCTACTAAAGGTGCTTTGCGTGCAGGAAAATCGGTTGGTGGATTTAAGATTGGTAAAGAAGCTGGCGAATGGACAGCATCAAACTATCATCCCTACCTACCATCAGAAGTGTATCTCATATGCAGGAAAGATATAATTATTTGTTAGAAAGTTCATAAGTGCATTTTAGAACTGCTGCCAAATTGTATAACTGCTTCATACTTGCAGGTTTTTCTCTGCTAGGAAGCATGGTTTGGTAGATGCTGTAGTTAGAAGCAGTAGTTCCGAACGGACAGCTGTTGTTGCTCTCCCTGGTGGGATTGGTACTCTCGATGAAGTTTTTGTGATATTAGCACTGATTCAGCTAGAACGAATTGAGTCAAAGCTTCCAGTTCCGTTCTTGTTGATGAACTACGACTCATTCTATTCAAAGCTACTAAACTTCCTTGATGATTGTGAGGACTGGGGTACCCTCTCCAAGGGAGAGCTTTCATCACTTTGGAAGGTTTGTGACAGTAACTCAGAGGCTTTGGCTTATTTGTCGGAGTTTTACGACTTACCTCTTAGCGAGAAAGGAAGGCATGACAACGAATTGAAAAGGGCAAGCGGAAAATTGTCTTAGTGAGATTTGCAGTTGAAGTGGTTGTCTGTAGAATGCCTTTTCCATTCAAGCAATGGTCTCAAAATCTGTTGTAACTTAATCACACTTGCGTGCGGAAATATTGTTCATTGCCTGAATTTAGATTTCCATTTTCCTCAGTCGTAGTTGAATGCGGAACTCGCAAGTAAGGTCGAGATGCAAGTAAGAGTCGACGTTGGCAGTTGGTCCAGCGGCAAATGAGTCAATCTGCGCAATCACCAAGTTACTATGTTACCCTTCATCTAGTGTGAAGTTTCAACCAGGTTCTTTTTCTTCGAGGGTGTAGAGAAATTTGGAAAATAAGATGACAATGTAATTATTCTATTCTAAACTAAACTAATTTACGGGAATGGGGATTTGAACTCGTGTGCAAGAGGGCGAGCACATTGCATTGATTAACTGACCTAACACACGTCTACAAGAGAGCTGAAACATGAAATGATTTAACAATGTCTGCAAGAGGGCGGTAACATAAACCGATATGTAATCCCGGACTATAATCAAGGACTTGACGGCCTTGAGGACGGCAGCAAACCATCGATACTTGTGTAGTCATAACTGGGTGAACTGGACGCTGATTGATCACCAGTGTTCAAACCAGCAAGCTGCATTATGTTCTCGATCTCTTTCACCACTTCCCCCATTCTAGGGCGTTTATCCTGCTGTTCTTCTACGCACAGCATCGCCAAATCAACAAATATTTCCAAACCTTTCAGATCTGTTCCCGAACCCATAGCCGGGTCAAGAACTTGATGAAGGTTGTACAGAGATTTTGTCTTATCAATTGCCATCTGCACCACTCTCACTATATACTTCCCTTGCTCTATTGGCCTTCTAGCAGTTATCAGCTCCAACATTACCACGCCGAAGCTATAAACGTCACTTTTCTCAGTCAACAATTGAGTCATGTAATACTCGGGATCCAAGTAGCCCTACACCAGCAGACATAATTGACCTCAGTTAAGATGATACCGTGATATTTTGTACAAAGCTGCAATACTTGTACTCGAGTTGATGAGTAACTTACCATTGTCCCTCTAACTTGAGTACTTATGTGATTTGTTCCACTGTCAGACATAGACTTGGAGAGACCGAAATCAGCAACTTTTGCTGTTAAATCTTTATCGAGCAATATGTTGTTTGATTTAATGTCGCGGTGTATAATGGGAGGGTTTGCGTGTTCATGAAGATAGGCCAGACCTCTTGCCGCACCAAGAATTACTTTAAGTCTCCTCATCCAGTCCAGCCTGATCCCTGACCTCCCTGCATTCACAAGTCTCTAATCGATCATTCTCACAAGAGACAAAATTGAACGAAACAGTTGGAGCTGCGAGGTCCTATTTAGATTTGAAGATGAAGAAATGAATTGAATACCTGAAAGACTTCCAAATAAATCGCCATTCGGAACATACTCATATACCAAGATTTGTTCACCTTGCTCCAAACAAAAACCAACAAGGCTGACAAGATTCTTATGATGTACTCTTGATAGAAGCTCAACCTCAGCTTTAAACTCAGGCCCTCCCTGCATGGATTCCCTGTTAGATCTTTTAATTGCAACCATTTGGCCCGTAGGAAGAACTCCTCGATACACCTATAAAATGTTACCGAATGATGTCATATTGTCACTATCTAGCAGTATTTTTGTAAGTTACATTTTGTAACTGTGTAGGGTTTAGGAGTTAACCTTTCCATAACCACCAGATCCAACATCATTAGCGTCTGAAAAACCGTTGCTGTATTTCCTAAGCTCTTCAAAAGAGAACAACCGTGCTCCTTTTAGGTCCGGAGAACTAGCATTGCAATAAGTCCTGGTCTGCAGAATTCGTAGACAGAAAAACAATAACTAAGCTTACTGCCTAATGATGAAGCATAATGCGTTGAGTCTGTTATAATTTTTTCTCTACCGCCTTTTTGAGTTATCGATGAACAACATCTTACCAAAGGCATTGACCTGCTCCATTGATCATTTGCTTGTCTCTTTAGGTGGAGAGCATAAAACCCTAGAAGGGCTAACAATAACACAAGTGCGGAACCACCAACTGCTGCACCAATTATCAAGCCCTTGCTTGATCCTGCAGCACACCTCAAAATCATGAGAAATGAAAAGAGAGACGTGTCGTCAGTTATCAGATCGAGTTAACATTGCCAACTTTTAAAGCAGAAGTGCAACTAGTATTTCTAAGTTCAGAGTGACTTTCAGACTTACCTCCTGATTTCGGGTTGTCATAAGGGAAAAAAAAAGAGAAGGGTCCATAATAACTTGGATGCGCCCCCGCCAGAGTCTGGTTGCTAATCATGGACGCAATGGCTGAAGATCCAGTTTTGTTGAAGCGGTCTTGGCCAGCCGGGAAGATTTCTATGTAGAGTTTAAGGTGATAAGAGGAGTCCCAGGAAGGATTACTAACAGCAACTGAATCCACAGGAAGGTTATAGGACTGAAGGGTTTCTAGGAGAGAATCTTGAAGAGCTGTGAAATATCTGAAGTTTCCCAAGTTGGAGAAAGAAACAAATATGAAGTTTAGAGTTCGTGTGTAGGGATATGCACATTTACAGTGGGGGGAAGAAACCTGCCCCGGACTACAAGCAACTGGCGCACAATTACTTGGTGGCGGCAAAATTGGGGAACTGGTTGGAGAAACAGTGCAGTTGTTATTTGTCATGTATGTTGCCTCACAAATTGGATTATCAACGAGGCTGCAAAAGATAACAGACCATTAATCATGACAGTTTGACAAACAATTGGACATTGATATTCGATGTATGAGAACTATGGCTTACATCAATGTATAGTTGGATCCTCCATCACTTTGTATAAGGTCGGTAATGAAGTTCTTCTCCAGATCAATTAGTTGCAAATGGTTGCTAGAAATGGTTCCAAGATTCAATAAACCGTTGATCTTGTTGTTCCTCAGTAACCTGCAACAGCCCACAGGTTAGATTGATAATCACTTTACAACCACTTTACACTTAAGCTAGGTGCTATTAGAGATCAGTATGATACTCACACCGTCTCCAAACTGGAAAGGCTGAATAAGGCCGGAGGAACTTCTCCCTGAAGTCCCGTGTTCTCCATCATTCTGCCATACAGGATTGACAGGTACATTAATTCAGATCATTTACTGTGATATTTCAAATGGAATAACATATACTCGAACTCAAACTGCATCCATATACACGCAAACACACACACACGGGTATATTGAGGAGGAATAAAACATACAATGTTGTCAAATTCTGCAATGTCGAAAACCAAGTAGGAACATCTGTTGCAGCAAAAGTATTGTTGCTCATATCCCTGCAGATCAATGATATGGAATACATATGATTGTAACAATTTTTAGTCATGGGAAAAAGTGATGAAATTCATAAAGCGTAATATCTTTTAGATCGAGCTTGAAAAAATCAGTAATGTTGTACTTACACATAGTTCAGGCCATTCAAGCTAGTAAGGTTTGGCATGGGGCCAGTCAGCTGATTGTTGGACAAGTGCCTGAAAACATATTACCATTAGTCTCTCTTTAGTAAAGTGAAATCCAAACAACATGTTTGAAAGTGAAAATTCTTTGTCTGGTACGCCATTTTCTTACAGATGGACCAATTTTGTAAGATTGTTGAGGCTTGAGGGAACGGACCCATTTAAGGAATTCCTATCAAGGATTCTGTACCAGAACAAGATATTCAGTACAACTGGATACAAGCCACAACTTAGAAGTATCTTGGTTTAAATCTCTTGTGAATATGAAATACTCACACCGCCTGCAGTGTCTGCACGAGTCCGAGTGTGGAAGGAATGGCGCCAGTTAGATTATTTCGGTCAAAAATCCTGCACAGACAAAAGTACTCAAGGCAGATAAGGTAATGTTTTTCTCTTACCAATTGAGATTTTCAGGTGAAGAAAACTTACACATGTAGCAGAACCATCTGTGAACTGAAAAGTCGACGGGGAATTGTACCCGAGAGCTGATTATTTTGAAAATGACTGTATTTGAAGTGTAAAAAAGAATCAGAGGGGCACAAAACCAAGGTAGGCAAAAGATTAGTCGGCTCAGGGTTAACTAGAACTGACGTACAAGTGCCTCGCCTTATGTAACATATCAAGACCGGGTGCAGTCCTGTTAGATACTGGGATTGATCCCTGAAGTTGGTTGTCAGAAAGGTCCAGAAAGGAAAGATTGGTCATATTACCAATGGAAGGTGGAATCCGGCCACTGAAGCTATTGTTTTTCAAAGATCTGCAGCAGGATATAAATGAAGAGTTGCAGTGTTATAGCATATTGGCCTGTTTAAACGCCTAGTTTGGAATGATCAAGGGCGAGAGGGAGAGGAAGGCTTACAGATAAGAGAGCTGCTTTAGAGATCCCATAGTGTCTGGAATTCGACCGAAGAAACTGCAACCAACCAGGTTTCTGACATGCAAAGAAGAAAGCAACAAGGTAGTTAGGCGGATGAATAATCACATACCAAAAATTACTAAAGTGAAGAAACCGGTAATTCATTTTTACAAGTATACTAGTTTCGTCAACTTTCCAATTGATGCCGGAAGCAGTCCCTTCAGGCCCCTGTTAAAAGACAGATTCCTATATGAAAAAGGGTGAGAAAAGAGTTACAAAAGACTAATGAGAAATCTATAACCAAGAAATGAATCAAATAATGAAGTTAAAGCTAAAGCAATTTCACTAACGATTAAAACGCTTTGAAAGAAAAATCCTGGATATTTTGGTTCACATATTAGTTGCAAGTGAAGTATCATAATTATGTAAAACGCAATGCGGAGAATCAGATTGAAGACGTACAGAACCTCAAGCTCAGATAACAGCTCGATATCGCGGGGAAGAGAACCTGTCAAAGCCATATCTGCCAATGCTCTGAAATTAAAAGAAGCCAATGTTATCCGAAAATGGAAGAAAATTAAGCAACATCCAGAAGCAACGAAAATGGTGGAAACAGGCAAAAACTTACATGGAGGTTACATGCGAATTCGTGCACGTAATACCTTCCCAGCTGCCGTCACCACAAGGATCTGAACCCACCCAACTGGTTGGTCTTATGTTCCACTCATCCATGAGAATCTTCATAGGGACATCTGCATAGAATTTAACACGGTTCAATGCTCGAACCGCCATCCATGGATCTATCAATCTATTATACCGTACTACTAAGTTTCATTCACTGTCATATTGATAAGTCCATAATCATCAAAGAAGGAATGGTTATGAACTACTCTACAAGTCTAACTATGATCCAAACTTCTGAATGCCGCTAACGAGTTCTGCCCATTTAATGGAGAAGAAGCAGTTACATAAGGACGTAGCAGTTGGATAAAACTTACATTCCTCAATGTTTGCCTCTACTGCAATAACAAAGAAAGGGATCAACACAAGCAGGGGAAACACATGATCAGTGGCTCGAGTTCGATCCATCCCTTTGCTAATTCAGGCCTTATTTGGCTTTCAGTTCTTCATATTATTCTTCTCATAAGGAAGGCAGATATATATAGTACAGACTCGACTTACAAGGTATGAATATACAATAATATTCACCCTACGTCCTCAAACGGGAAATAAATTGTTGAATCCCACATCGGTCATACAAAAAGAAAAGTAATAGTTTAAATATCCTAACCCCACTCTAACTAACACCGAGATTTTTTGTGATAAAACCTCACATCTAACGGATTGTGCAGGTGGTAATTACCAAGTTGGGGAAAATATCGGTGTTGTTGGAAGTGGGCATTATGGCCCGTCTCTCTATTTTCTACATGGTATCAGAGCCAGGGAGCCCACCCGTCTCTCTATTTTCTACATGGAATCAGAGCCAGGGAGCGGGCCCATACTGTACTACCACGTGATGGGTGGGTACCCTTGGCCCCACGTGCAGGGATTGGGTCCCACGTGAGGATTCATACCCAACTTGTCAAGTGAGTAGTAGAAGACTTGACTTGCAATGGTTTTTGTCAGGATGTTTGCCATCTAACTTCTCCTTAAGAATATGTCTATCCACTTCCACATGTCCCGATCATGTTGAACTGGATTATTCAAAATATCAATGGCCGATTTATTGTCTCATAATAGATTTGATCCAGATGTTGGTGGGTACCCAAGTTCTATAAATAACTGCTAAAGCCATAATAGTTCACATACTCCTTTCACCATAACTCTATATTCTGCTTCTACACTTGACAAAGCAACCACTTTCTGCTTCCTACTCTGCCAAGTCACTAAATTGCCTCTGACAATGTAAAGTACTCCGAAGTAGACTGTAATATTTCCCGCCCATTCCCATCAGTATGACCGTCCACTTGAAAATGTCAATTCTTCGAAAACATGATGCCTCCACCTGATGCGGACTTCAGTTAGCAAAGGATTCGTTCAACTGCACCCATGCAGGCTTCTCTTAGAGAGTGCACAAACTGGCTTACAACACTCATTGCTTACACAATGTCGTGTCTACTGTGAGTTAGGTAGAATAATCGCCCAACCAACCTCTAATAGTGGTCTTTGTTAGTTGAAATTTGGTTAGGGTACACGACAAGATGATGGTTTTGAATGATAGGAATGTTAACTAGTTTATAGTCAAGCATTCCGATTTCTGTCAACAAATCCAAAACATATTTCCTTTGAGATAGAAAGATGCCCTATTTCTACCAAGCCACTTCCATACCCAAAAAATACTTAAGCCCGCCAAGATCTTTCATCTCGATCTCGATTGCCAAGTAATCTTTTAACTTCAAGATTTCTTCCTTATCATTGCCTATAACAAACATATTAATGAGTGGTGTTAACTACTCATTCGACATTTGATAGTGCACGGTCGGAATTGCTCTGCCTGAACCCATACTTTATCATGGCTGTTTGAAACCTCCCAAACCACGCCCGAGGTGATTGTTTCGGTAGATACAATGCCTTGTTCAATTTGCATACTACTCCTTGTTTTGATACTGATGTGTACCTTGACGGGATATCAATGTACACCTCTTTCGTAAGATTCCAGTGTAAAAATGCATTTTTCACATCAAGTTGTTGTATTAGCCAATCTAAATAAACTGCCCAAGAAAGCAACACTCTAACTGTATTGATCTCTACCGGAGCAAATGTTTTTGTATAATCAACGTCATATGTATGAGTATAACCTTTGGCCACTAGTCGTGCCTTGTACCTTTCAAGCTAATGCAGATGGAATGAACAATATAAAACCATTGAGCTACCTGCTTTTACTAAGTCCTCGGAAGAACTTAACAATGAAAAAAGTAAACGGTATTCCCCATAATTTTAACCAACTGCGATTGGAACCAGGAAAAGGACAATCTTGAACGGTTCTTCATGCAACCTCAAAATTGTGGTAAAGAAAGAAACATTCAAATGAAAAAATAAAAGAAGGAAAAATAAAAAATAAAAAATAAACTCAAATATATATTAAAATTTCAAATATTTTAGTGACAAAATTTGACAACGATAAGAACCAGAGTTTAACAAACTGATCCAGCTGAGAAGATCTGCCTGACGTTGCATCCTTTCGTATAAGGTAATGCTAGTGAGATTAAATTGGTAGATTAATATTGCAAATTAAATGATATAGAAGTTGATGATTAAATTATTACTTAACTGTTGATTAAAATGTTTATTTCTTATTGGTGACACATCATTTAATTTACAAATTTAATCTACTTAGCATTACCCTTTCATTTATATTCCTTGTCAGTGTGGTGGGACCCAGCCAATCACACATAAGAGATTTTTCAGTGTAATCGGAACACGGGATGATACACCACGTCTATAAATAGTAAATTATGTATGTTAAAATGTTAATAACTTAAATATTAAAATTTTTTATTATTTATATAAAAATACGTATTGTAACAATTGCGTTCCAATCACAATGAAAATTTTCTCATCAGACGCATCCTCCTCCCTTTCCACATTCTATCTTTTTCCCAAGCCAGGTAAGGATCTCACTTAGTCCCACTTTTGACAATTGACCTTCAAGTTGTAATTCATTTATTTATTTATTTATTGATCTCACTTAATCCCACCATAGAGTATCGGCCTTCAAGTTGTAATTTATTTATTTATTGATGACACGATTATATTTGAGTGGGATCACAATAATAGAGATGGGTTGTTAGATGAGAGCGACTTATATAGAACATAAATGATATGATCGAATAATGCAATGTTATGTAAAAAAAAATATCAAACATAAAATGTTATGAGTGGATGCATAGCAAACATCTTGATTCTTTTTTTTTAGTACATCAATATTTTTATATTAGAAGGAGGAAGAGTTCGACTAAGCCACACAATGGACAACCTAATTTGGTGTTGAATTCGTCATCCACGAGATTCGAACTTAAGACATCTTACTTCTAAACGAAGATGAATATCACCAGACCGTAGTACTAAGTGACAGCATCTTTATTCTTGAAAGTGAAGGCGCTAACACAATCCCCAATGTTGTCACCAGTTTTACAAATACACCAATAATCGTAGTTAATATCAATTATGACAAAAAAAGATAGAAAATTTGACTTATTTTTTGAAATTCAAGAAAGTTGAAATAGTATGAGTGATGATCCTCGCCGAATCCTCTTTGCGAGGATCTTGGGAATTCTCAAATCATATTCGTTCATCGTGCAGTAAAAAATCATTGTAAATTTTATTATTTAAAACTGAATATAAACAGTATCTGACAAAAATTAACTGCACGATGTACGATGAACGAATGTGATTGAAGGATCCTCATAAAGATAAGCCGGCAAGGATCCTCTCTCAAATGGTATATTAAAATTCCACGCAACAAATACTTTATTCCTTTCTCTCATTTATAGAGAATAAAATACAAACCTATTTGAATAGGTAAACCAATTCAAATAAGTAAGAGTGATGCTAGAGAGCCATTTAATCATATTTCATAAATTACATGATGTTGCAGTTGATGGGTAGACTTCATTTTTTATTTTTTGAAAAAAAAAAATTAACTGCACTAAGGGGTGCCAACTGATCCGGCCAGACAGTCAGAGGGTCAAAAATAACTTGAAATGCCACGAAAACCGTTTCTAACTTAGTGAGAGCTGGACTAAATCGCCCATGAGTCCCACCGCGCCAAAAAAGTGGAATCAGGCCAACCGGCTGGCTCCTCTAGGCCAGCCAGCTACCCCCGGGCCGGCCTCTCTTCCTCTCGCAGGTAACGACTCGAGCTTCTCTCTTCCTCCTCTTTTTCTTCTGATTCATCTTCTTTCTCTCCCATCGAGCAAAAACAACAAACATCTTCCTTTGCCGTTGGATTCCACAAACAGAAGCTGGATCCTCCGCTGTGAACGGGGTTTTTCTTTCTGGAGATTAGATTAGGGTTTGTCAAATTCGAAATCGAATTTCCGCCGGACTCATAATCTCCGGTCAGTTCCGATGCTGGCGAAAGGAAGAAAAGTTTCAGGGCGGGGAGAGGCCGTGGCGGCGAACACCGCAAGTTCGCGGACGCTGGAGCTGAGGAAGAAGCAGTTTGCTCTGCTCCTGCACGTGGTACGTGAGCTTTATTGAATTCCCGATATGTTGTGTGCATTAAGCAGTAGAATTAAAACGCTTTAAGAAAGTGGGGTAATTTCCGGGTGTATTTTATGTTCTCGCAGGTGGATGAGTTGCAGAATACCTTAGAGGTAGAACAGAGGAGTTTAATTGAGGAGAAAGAAGAGAAAAATGGAATGGAAGAGCAGCTGGGGGCTCGGAAGTCGGAACCCATGCATGTTGATTAGAATACAATGCATCTCTTGACTCTCCGTTTCCAAGTTGTAAGATTGCGCGTTTCGGAAATGGGCACGCAAGAGAGTGGTTGCAGTATGCTAGCCATTTTATGAAATTCTTGTTGTTGTGCATTTGTATGATTCTCTTTGCATATATGAATTACCAAGTTTACTTGATGAGAAGGAAATTGCCGTAACTCTTTCCTAAATTATTTCTAAAGTAGTTGATCGTATATACCTAATGCTTGGATGCATTGCTTTCATTGCATTTGAGTTTACTCCTTTAGTAGTGTAATATTATGCAGTTTAATTTCGGAGAATTTCATACCGTAGACGAAATGCTTGAGCTTTTCAAATTCCTTATAATCCGACTTTTTTGGCTTTGCCCGAGTGAAGGTACCTTGGATGCACAATTGCTGCATTACAAAGTCTTTACTATTTGATATTGGTCTTGCAATGCCAAAGAACAAATATGATTTGTTATCACATATGCTATCAGCATTTGTAAGACAACTTTCTATTATATTATTGACTGTAGTTGTATTTGTACTTGATTTAGAAAGCGATGGATTTAACTACTGGTCTTCCTTAACAGGGTAGTGGGCAGACTAGACGTTTTATTAATTAATAGATCACTCATTGTAGATTTGCTTTTCGTTTTCTCTATTGAGAGAGTAAAGTACATGTTACACATATCTTTCAAGTGAAAACTTTCTGGAAAGTTATTGCATTCAACGCCACATTTTCATAGATTTATGTTCCACTCATCCATGAGAATCTTCATAGGGACCTCTGCATAGAATTTAACACAGTTCAATGCTCGAACCGCCATCCATGGATCTATCAATCTATTATACCGTACTACTAAGTTTCATTCACTGTCATATTGATAAGTCCATAATCATCAAAGAAGGAATGGTTATGAACTACTCTACATGTCTAACTATGATCCAAACTTTTGAATGCCGCTAACGAGTTCTGCCCATTTAATGGAGAAGAAGCAGTTACATAAGGACGTAGCAGTTGGATAAAACTTACATTCCTGATTGTTTGCCTCTACTGCAATACAAAGAAAGGGATCAACACAAGCAGGGGAAACACATGATCAGTGGCTCGAGTTCGATCCATCCCTTCGCTAATTCAGGCCTTATTTGGCTTTCAGTTCTTGATATTATTCTTATCACAAGGAAGGCAGATATATATATATAGTACAGACTCGACTTACAAGGTATGAATATACAATAATATTCACCCTACGTCCTCAAACGGGAAACAAATTGTTGAATCCCACATTGGTCATACAAAAAGAAAAGTAATAGTTTAAATATCCTAACCCCACTCTAACCAACACCGAGATCTTTTGTGATAAAACTCCACATCTAACGGATTGTGCAGGTGATAATTACCAAGTTGAGGAAAATATTGGTGTTGTTGGAAGTGGGCATTATGGTTCGTCTCTCTATTTTCTATATGGTATCAGAGCCAGGGAGCGGACCCGTACTGTACTGCCACGTGATGGGTGGGTTCCCTTGGCCCCGCGTGCAGGGATTGGGTCCCACGTGAGGATTCATACCCACATGAGGATTCATACCCAACTTGTCAAGTGAGTAATAGAAGACTTGACGCGGACCCGTACTGTACTGCCACGTGATGGGTGGGTTCCCTTGGCCCGGCGTGCAGGGATTGGGTCCCACGTGAGGATTCATACCCACATGAGGATTCATACCCAACTTGTCAAGTGAGTAATAGAAGACTTGACTTGCAATCTTCAGATTTTACAACAGGAAATTGAATAATATTTGCATCTAACTTCTCCTTAAGAATATGTCTATCCACTTCCACATGTCCCGATCATGTTGAACTGGATTATTCAAAATATCAATGGCCGATTTATTGTCTCATAATAGATTTGATCCAGATGTTGGTGGGTACCCAAGTTCTATAAATAACTGCTGAAGCCATAATAATTCACATACTCCTTTCACCATAACTCTATATTCTGCTTCTACACTTGACAAAGCAACCACTTTCTGCTTCCTACTCTGCCAAGTCACTAAATTGCCTCTGACAATGTAAAGTACTCCAAAGTAGACTGTAATATTTCCCGCCCATTCCCATCAGTATGACCGTCCACTTGAAAATGTCAATTCTTCGAAAACATGATGCCTCCACCTGGTGCGGACTTCAGTTAGCAAAGGATTCGTCCAACCGCACCCATGCAGGCTTCTCTTAGAGAGTGCACAAACTGGCTTACAACACTCACTGCTTACACAATGTCGTGTCTACTATGAGTTAGGAAGAATAATCGCCCAACCAACCTCTAATAGTGGTCTTTGTTAGTTGAAATTTGGTCAGGGTACACGACAAGATGATGGTTCTGAATGATAGGAGTGTCAACTAGTTTACAGTCAAGCATTCTGATTTCTGTCAACAAATCCAAAACATATTTCCTTTGAGATAGAAAGATGCCCTGTTTCTGCCGAGCCACTTCCATACCCAAAAAATACTTAAGCCCGCCAAGATCTTTCATCTCGATCTCGGTTGCCAAGTAATCTTTTAATTTCAAGATTTCTTCCTTATCATTGCCTATAACAAACATATTAATGAGTGGTGTTAACTACTCATTCGACATTTGATGGTGCATGGTCGGAATTGCTCTGCCTGAACCCATACTTTATCATGGCTGTTCGAAACCTCCCAAACCACGCTCGAGGTGATTGTTTCGGTAGATACAATGCCTTGTTCAATTTGCATACTACTCCTTGTTTTGATACTGATGTGTACCTTGACAGGATATCAATGTACACCTCTTCCGTCAGATTCCAGTGTAAAAATGCATTTTTCACATCAAGTTGTTGTATTAGCCAATCTAAATAAACTGCCAAAGAAAGCAACACTCTAACTGTATTGATCTCTACCAGAGCAAATGTTTTTGTATAATCAACGTCATATGTATGAGTATAACCTTTGGCCACTAGTCGTGCCTTGTACCTTTCAAGCTAATGCAGATGGAATGAACAATATAAAACCACTGAGCTACCTGCTTTTACTAAGTCCTCGGAAGAACTTCACAATGAAAAAAGTAAACGGTATTCCCCATAATTTTAACCAACTGCGATTGGAACCAGGAAAAGGACAATCTTGAACAGTTCTTCATACAACCTCAAAATTGTGGTAAAGAAAGAAACATTCAAATGAAAAAATAAAAGAAGGAAAAATAAAAAATAAAAAATAAACTCGAATATATTAAAATTTCAAATATTTTAGTGATAAAATTTGAAAACGATAAGAACCAGAGTTTAACAAACTGATCCAGCTGAGAAGATCTGCCTGACGTTGCACCCTTTCGTATAAGGTAATGCTAGTGAGATTAAATTGGTAGATTAATATTGTAAATTAAATGATATAGAAGTTGATGATTAAATTATTACTTAAGTCTTGATTAACTACTTATCTTCCAGAACAGGGTAGTGGGCAGACTAGACGTTTTATTAATTAATAGATCACTCATTGTAGATTTGTTTTTCGTTTTCTCTATTGAGAGAGTAAAGTGCATGTTACACATAACTTTCAAGTTAAAACTTTCTGGAAAGTTATTGCATTCAACGCCACATTTTCATAGATTTGAAATTTTGTATCGACGCTAACAGAAAAAGTGGATGGGCTACTGGAAAGGAAAGAGGCAGATTTTGTGTTATGGCTTGGGACATAGGCAAGCTGAGAATTGCGGTTAGTTTTGGGTTTAGATTTGTTTATGTTCTTGTACTTTTTTATTTTTATGTTTAATTTCCTTATGGTTTTTGTACAGTATGTATGCAGAGTTTCAACAAATGATATTAAGACTTCTATTTGGTATGTGTGAAGGAGTTTGCTTTTGATTTTCGAGACATGCTTCTGCTCATCCCTTTCTCGATACAATTGGTACGAATGCCCTATTCAAGTGGGCATGTTTTGCCAGAGTATAGTATTTGTTAGATAGGGAAATACAATACTAGGGTTGTAGGTGAATATGTTGGAGCTTTCTTACCATCTGCAAGCATATGAATGCGAACTTGTTCATATGGAGTTGTGGGATTATTGGAAGCAGATTTTTGGTAACATACTGGATTGAGATGGAAAGCGTGCATGCGTTTGTCTGGCGTTTCCTCCTTTCGACTGTTGTTTGAAGTTTTGTATTGATGCTCTTTGTGGTAATTTAATTTAAGTAACCATAGTAATTCAATTAAAATAATAAATTATGTTTGACCCTATGGTCTTTTAGCCCCTTCGGTTTGAGATGGTTTTTTGTCACAAGGTTATATTTGGCCTATGGCCCTCTGGCCTCTCAGTTGGAGATAGTAAGAAAAATGGCCTGAGATTGTTCATTAAAATATTAAGTTCTTCGAGGACTATAGGGCCAAAGAGAGCCCTCTAGCCCACCTTCGGTTGGAGATGAGCAACCGAAGGAGGGCCAGAGGGCTCATTTTAGCTCTCTGGCTCTCCAAGAAATTAATAATTTAATAAATAGTGCATGACCATATTTCTTACCATCTCCAACCGAGGGGCCAGAGGGCCACGGCCAAACATAGCTTTGTGATAAAAAATCATCTCCAACCAAGAACCAAAGAGATATAGGATCAAATATAATTTATTATTTAAATTTAAAAACTAAGATGGAATCCGAATGTAAGAACAGTGGAAATCCTCGAAAGGATACCCAATGAGTCATTTGACAGAGATACTAAACCATTACTTGAACCGTGTATCTAAAACCGTTTCTTAATCTCTAAGGAATGCCGAATCAGGAAACACTCCAATGTTTCATCAGAGAACATGTAGTGGCAAAATATGCAGCTTCCTGTAGGCTGTAGTGCGGTGGAGAGCGATTAGAAAAGCATGGCTGGCAACCGGGGAGACCTGAGTTGGATGGAACTGGTTATCTGGTGGTGCAGTGGTTGGGTCGTTGGGGCAAGGTGGCCTGAAGTTGCAGATCATCGGTGCGGGGCGGGGTAAGACCAGGTTGGGGTGGAGCCTGGAGCCACCTTTATCCAAAACAGTATGAGGTTGAGCTAATGCAGCTCTCTTCTTTCTATTTATCACTTGTCACTGACATACCGTGTGGCATACAACGGTCGATGCTGGCCAACACACAGCAATTCAGGCATAGATGGTCATGAAGATTGTTAACTTCCGACATGTTTCCCAATCGGGTAAAATCAGAAACATACGTGCACCATGATCCAACAGATTTCGCAGTCGAGAACCCAATTCATAACTTGCAACTAGAATTTCAACTAACAAGATTTACATTAGCACATAATATCCGGTCTTATGGAGGAAAAAAGTACTGAAAGAGGTCCACTTGAATTCAAGACCAAAAGGCATAAATAGCATTGATAAGACAAAATTTCTTAGGCTGGGTGAGAAGTGCCCTTCTCGCGATTCTTCAAGGAATTGCAAAAGAAGGTGAAACCCGCTTTTAGTTCTCCCGGGAGTGAAAATTGAAGGGGGAGCACCAAGGGACGAACTTGCTCACTTTTCTTCCTCACAGAAAATGGTTGTGCTAAAGCCGGCTGCTGCTTGTTTAGGCCTTCAATAACAAATGAGAATGCCCCAAAAGTGAGACAGCTTTGTAGAAGAGCCTGGGGTGCACCTGCAAGTTAAATAAGGTATTCTAAATTAAAGATACAATAGACTGTACAGAAACTGCTTCATTGATTAGCGCAGAAAAGACTTGCTCGTTATAACAATCCAAAAATGAGAGAGAACAAAAATCGGGAGTTCTATAGATATTAAGAATTTAAATTTTAATGGCACAGTCAATGAGTTTATTGCTACTTTATATATTACCGAACTCTGTAATACGATGGATACCTGGAAAACTAAGAGCAAGACCAGTGCAACATCCAGCTACTCCGGCATTAATGACTGCAGAGGAAGAATGAGTGAACAGGATATAATGAATGAATAACGTAAAAGTACTATTTCTGCATTCAAGTTCCCATACCATCATCCTTTCCTCGCAGCCTCTTCAACATGCAGACAACCAAACTGTGCACTCCGGACAAAACTGCGAATGTCTGAAAAGGGGAAAATATAAAAAGAAACCTTAACAACTGAATTCAAAGAAACATTCGACATTGTAAATAGCAATTCACAAAAATACTAAACTAATTACACTCATATTGCAATGCTATCATTTAATAATAGGAATTCCCATACCTTTGCAGAAGATCCTGCATCTGCAAAGGATCCTTTAAAACCTTTTTTCTTGAACAACCCCGCACCTGAAACACATCCAGGCAAGGTAAAACAAAAAAATCTCAGTCCGATTGACATGTGTATGTAAGAAAAAGATAAACTGGGGCTGAGTTTGCTGAAGCTGGGTTTGCTCATCTAATAATTCATTGCTAAATTGATATCAAGACAATCTTCAATCTCTAGCTGTTTTTACATGTATAAAAATCAGGCGACAGCCGCCACACTGAGTAACGCAATATCGAGCCAAACTCAACTCAACCAAAGTTTGAGTGGCATGTTTTGTTCTACATCCCCTCATTATGTGAACATGGCATAGAGAAATGACTGGCATTATCCAAATGGACTAATTACTCCATAAATCTAACAATCACGAACAATCGGAATTCTCTCATAACAATGGCTTGTTAGATGCAATGAGCATAGAAAGGAACCAAGCATACAGCAGTATAAAGTTCAGAATGCCGCATGTACAAGTTTATCCACAACCTTAAACAACACAGTGCAATTCCCGAGCCTTAAAATATCAACTTCACCTCAATTTATTGCTTCACTATATATTATCAGTTCCAGCAGTAAATCATCAAAACTGGAGTCCATATTACAACAAATTAACTAACTTTACCCCAAATTTACCCTATAACCACAATTTCACTATCAAAACACAGGAGGAATTATGAACAAAACCCACCAAAAAATCGGAAAGAGAAAATTCACTCCTTTTCCTAAACCCTAAATAATCATCTAATAAAAGCATAAGCACCACTCAAATTCCCATATAGAACTACCACAATTATGCAATTAAAAGCTTCACAAATACAAACATACACACGCGCGCGCGCGCACACACACATATATATAGAGAAAGGGAGAGAGAGAGGGAGGACCGTATCCAAAAATGGAGCCCATGAACGCGCCGCCAGCGGAGTCTCCGGCGAACCTGAGAAGGCAGACAGCAGGGCCACTGGGGGAGGCAGGGACTAAGGAGTTTGAAGAATTAGGGTTAGGATTAGTATCGAGCTCAGTGTTGGGATCCATCTCAGTGTTTGGAGAATCAACCGACGTCGACGCCATGGCCGGCTGCTACTCGCTCTGCCTATTCAATCTCCAAAAAGCAGCAATAACTCAAATGTCAAACTGACAACACAATCAATACGCCTCCTTGTTATTTCCGCAATTTATTTGTTTAGTACTTCTTAAAAATTGGTTTTAAACAAGATGAAACGACGTCGGACCGCCACTATTTTGATTCATTTTATTTTTTAATAAACAATATTATCTACAGATATGTGATCTTAGTCTCACAATAACAATAATGTGGTTCAAATTCGATTTTTATTTTGATTCATTTTAGTTACTAGAGTTTTGCCCTAAATTCAATTTGTTGACACTACCTTCTAGATGTATAGCCGATGAAAATTTATAAATTATGTTTAGGTATTCGCGGATGCTTAACCCTAAGGAGGTGGTTATGGAGGATAGTAAACGGGTATGAGTAGGATTTGGGGTCCAAGTCATGGATCGATGAAGATATTGCCATTCCCGATATGTACCCGACCCGATTATATGTAATTTATAAATGGGGTTTTTGAACTTTAATCCTTCTAGAAGATTAAAATTTAATAAAAACCTGGTGTTATATTGGATATTGATTTTAGTCTCTTAATGAGTACATAATTCAAATTTATATTATATTTTTGTGTTAATATTTAATAGATATCTTATTTAATGTCATTACATTAAATTTTAAATTTATTATTATACACATTTTAATTTATTAATTTTATTTAACTTCCTCTAATTAGTGTACCTAGATGTCTATATCATAATATATTTTACTAATTTAGTATCCCGAAATGTCCGCATCTAAATATATTGTAGTAAATTAGTGGCACATAAGAAAATATGCAAAAATATAAGTGTACTGAAAATTCTATACCCAACTATACGATCCTAAATTAGTGTACTGAAATGTTGATCCCTAAATATATTATACTAAACTAGTGTACATAAATGTCCATACCTAAACATATTATACTAACTCAGTAAATTGAAATGTTCGTACCTAAATATATCAATTAGGTTCTAATAATTATTGAGCTTTTGTATGTATTGATTCTCATAAACAATAAAAATATTATTTGACAATTATTAATAAGTTCCCACAATAAAAAAGCCATATATATATATATATATATATCATATATTCTTCATTGTGTGTAAATTTCTATGTATATATGTATACGCATATTACGTACCTAAGTATGTATTATATTTATGTTCTGAGACATTTTGTACCAAAACTTATGTATTGATGCAATCGTATCGAAACTTATGCAATGATACCTATGTACCAAAATATATATACTAATGCAGTCATGCTGAAACTTATGTATCGATGTATTCGTACGGATACAATTGTACCGAAATTTATGTACTGATACATTCATACCAAAACATATGTACTGATTCATTCGTATCGAAACTTATGTACTGATGCATTCGTATTGAAACTTATACACCAATACAATTGTACCGCTATATTTGTACCGAAACTTATGTACCAATACATTTGCGCCGAGACATTGAATACATATGCTAGCATTTAATAGAGTCTAAGGACTAAAATCAATTTTTAATCTTATATAAGATATTTTTTTGAACTTCATCTTATTTAGGGATAAAAATCTAGTTTTTTATTTATAAATTATGTTTGTGAATCATCTTTATTGGTCTTGCAATGTCTCGTATTTTCTTTTTATTGAATAACTCTTTTGACATGGAATGAAACATTCAACTCATTGTAGGTTGCTATAACAATTGTGTCAAATTTTTTTTTAAAGTTATTTACTTTTCGATAGGTTTTTTTTGTTTACGTAATTACGTTACATAATCAAAGTTTAGAAATACAATTTTTCATGATAAGGGGTTGGCGGCTTGGGGTTTGGAGGTACCTTCCTCCATAGAGGCGGGGTTGGGGAAACCCGAATTATGAAAGTTGGGTTGGCCATCAAACCCGTCCAACATACCCGAGTTGGACTCTAATATTAAGTTACTAACTAATTACAGTTTGAGCGCTCTGATCAAATAGATCGTTAGTAGCTTTAGCATTGATTATGTGAATTTTAAATTCATACTCTTGGGCCCAATGGAAGCCCAGCGGTGAAGTGTGAACCAAGCCTAACAGTCCTCCACTGCCACTTCTCGTCTCCGAAATTCAGTTCATATTTTCCCCTTAAGGCCTCCTTCCACCCTCACACTCCGACAATCCATCACTCCGAAAAGGTAATTTCTGATCTTTAATTCATATCTGGGTTTTTTTCTCTTTTACAGTCTCATTCCTTATTTCTTGTAATTGCCCGGATTGCTTTTGCGCTTAAACACCGAAATTTCATTGTTAATTATTTGGTCTGACGGATGGAGCTAACCAGAAATGTGATTTTGATCTAGGGTTAATGTTTTAGGGTTTAGGGATTGGTTGTAAACTAATTAGGGTTTGGGTTTAGTATGTACCAGCTGAAGACATTCTATGTTACGTTGTAGACTGAATACCAGTTTTGGGGTTTTAACAGCCTGTATAGACCTTGATTTGATCTTTGACACCTCTGTGAATTCATGAATGCTTACTTTTCTGGAATCAGCATACTAAAATAATGCATGTTTTGATTATGTAGCGTGAATGCGTCATTGTTTGATTAAGTGTGTGTTTGTTGTGGTGATACCTGCCCCTAAAATTTTAGAGAAAACATGACTACCATTTGCATTGTAATTAAGCTGCACATAATACTCTTATCAATTCTTTTAGTATGTTTGGGTGAGGAACGTTCAAATTCGAAGGGATTTAGGGATGGTGATGAAGAGATGGATCACAAAAAAAAATGATAGGAGGAATTAGAAATGCACCACATGAGCATTACAAAAGGCATGATGGAGAGATTTGCAAATGACTACTTGGGATGAGTCATTTACAAATCCCATAGCTTTGTAATGATCATGAGGTGCATTTTCTAATTCCTCCTATCTAACTTTCTTTGATCCATTTCTTCTTTGTTTTGCCTACATACCTTGGAATTCGGAAGTCCTTCGCCCAAACATACCTTTAAGCTGGTATGGCATAATCTTATTTCTTCTGGTTATTACTCAAGTACATGTTAAAGCGGACAAGAAGATGCTGCAGTATATTGTTTTTTACTACTTTATATCAAGGGACAGGATAGGATACCTTCAATTTTGGCATTGTTCTTTCTGTGGACAATATTTAAATTAGATAAAAGAACTTTTTTAACCATTGAAACAATAGTTAAAGTGATTATAAGAAAAATTGGGAAGCTTTAGTATGCTTGTATTAAATTTGAGTTGTTGGTTTTATTTCTCCAAGTTACGAGAATTCTTTCTTGACCCTGTACTCAAACAAATATACAGGTGAAGGGCCATTACCCTCCATGGATTCCCTTATGTAGGATTTATGTGCAGAAATGTCACCTAGTTTTCTAGATATACTATTCAAGATTTCAAATCTTCATGTCTTACTTCACAGCTAATCACTCCAACTACACAGCTATAAGAGATTTTAAAAACATCACCACATTACCATTTTGTTTCTGACAGAGCCTTCATTTAGGTGCGTGACATTTGAGGGTTGGATTTTGAACAGAGAAGGATGGGGAGAATGATATTGAATAATGCATTGAGATCGATAGTGAATGCGGAGAGAAGGGGGAAAGATACTGTGGAGTTGAAACCCATATCCACAGTAATGTCATCATTCCTCAAAATCATGAAAGATCGAGGTAAAACCCTATAGTCTCCTCTTTTTTATATATGTTTTGATAATTGAGACTACCTATTTACTATCTACTTTCGGAATATGGATTTTTTGTAAAGTTAATTTGTTGAGAGGGTTTTGAAGATGGTAAACTTGTAGTGAATAAGGATCTATAGAACCAGGTTGTTGGGGTGGGCTCTAGGAATTTGGCTTTAATCAACATAGGTTTATTTAATTTTTATTTGTATTATTTCACATAAACAAGAAAATGGTATCTGGAACAGGCTGACCAGTTTTAGGGCTTTATTGTCCCTCATCTGAGCTTACCTACGATGTCAAATGCTGTCACTTATTTGTTTTGTTGGTCTCATGGATTTAATGTCAATTTATGAATTTCATAACACTGCCTTCATTCTGATGCATGCCATAATCAGGCATGCTTGAATAAGATAAATAAATAATGAGACTGTTCGAGGGTATATTGGTTCGAATAAATTGGTGATGGTTTTAAAACTCGCTATTAGAGGACTAGCATTATAAGCAGCTTGTAATTAATTATGGGATGCTTTGGTTACAATTGTAGTTTTAATTGGAGACATGGTATTACTTTTTTGAAAAATAATATTTATATATGATATTCTTTCTCGACTTAAATGAAGAAGTTCGTAATTGGCTTACCGAAAAAGTTTACTTTCTAATATAAATTAATGTTAGGATGTCTTTCAACAGTTATTTAAATATGCCTGTCTTCGAAACCAAATGGGGAATTTAGTTTCCACTGTATTTATAGAAGGGGGCTCTGTTGTATAGTTGTATTGAAAATACAGAAGAAAGACAGTGGAGCATTTTTGCATGTACCATGTGCATCACACTTCTTGTTTGTTTCTTTGGGAGGGGAGTAGGAGGGGGTGTATCAAAAAGTCCATATACGATCCAAATGTTATTTATCAATTTGTTGCATGTAGTAATTTTCCTGACTGTGGTATGCTTTCTTTAGGTTATATCAAGGATTTCCAAGTTTTTGATCCGCATAGAGTGGGGAGGATAACAGTTCAACTACAAGGCAGGGTTAATGATTGTAAAGCTCTTACTTACAGGCAGGATGTGAAGGCAAGAGATATTGAAGAGTACAAAATGCAAAAGCTTCCGATACGACAGGTTGGTTAACCTCTTGGTGTTGAAAGATGTGTTAAAAGTTCTTTTGTTGTCCATTATTATTTAAAGGAGCCTGCTGGGATGTGTGGATTTTTCTGTTAATGGGTTTTGCTGTCTTCATGCAGTGGGGTTATGTTGTGATTACTACTCCTGAAGGTGTGTTGGATCACGAAGAGGCTGTTAAGTGTAATGTTGGGGGTCAGGTTCTTGGCTATTTTCATTAGATGGGAAGGGGAGAAATGTTCTCTGGTATGATGATATTCCGACTTCACCAATGTGAGTTTGTTGTTTTGTTTACCTCAATATCAAGTTATGTGAATTTGGTGTCAACTTATGATTTAGATAAAGGGAACTTTAACGAAAAGCTTCCGATACTGTTTACTTTAACGAAAAACCACATTTTTACACTAAAAAGTCAATACTGGTACAGGTAGAACAAGATCATTCCTCTTGAAACAGCGCTCTTGTTTATTACAAAAATGGTAGCAGCATTTAGTAAACCAGTCTATTACTCTTTTAAACCTATTTTGAAGCATATTTTCCTGGGCATGCTAGTGAATTTTTATATGCACAATTGTTCACTTTTTCTTTCGGGTCAGGGTTTGCTGGTTTTGATTTATGTATCGGTACTGAGAAAGATGTGATCACTTATCTAGCGTATCCGTGGTCACTTATCTAAAGACATGACCTTTAGATGTCAACAAAGATTTGTGTGTTGATGGAAAGATGTTTTGATTGCAAATGGTGATGGGCAAGTGGAACACGCTTACAGAAAATACCATATACTACCGCTGCATCAATTCGACAGTAATTTGCATCAACGATTCACTCTACTTCTACGATCTAGGGAAAAAAAAACGTAGATCCATCCATTTTGCCACCAAAATTGTGTTTTTGCATCTCATTTTGCCTTCTACTGTTAAATCCTTTAAATATTCTGTATATATGTTGACGTCTCCTATGAGTTACTTCTTGTTTTATTATCGTAGAAATATTTTTGCTCACCACCTCATGATTATTGTGGAACAAGTCATTCTCAAAGGAAACAATTAACCATCCTCTCCAACTCCCCACCACCTCAGAAATTTGGCCCTCTGTTTTTGATCAGTTTCAACCTGATATTCATATCCCACTAGTTCTCTTCTATCGTCGTTGTTGCGATGAAGTCAATGTCGATCTCCATGCATTCTCTGTTTGCTGAAAAACTCAAGCTTCTAAGGAAATCATTATCGCAAGCCCTCACTCGCTTATATCCCTTTTGAGGGAAAAGTCGACTACAATGTTTCGATCAGCTGCAATGATCATGGAGCTGCATTTCTCGAGCGGTGAACTTGAGGAAATGATTGTCAGCTCAGGTTTTGGCGCCGGTAAGCATATTGGGGCATCTCGTGTGGTGCTTCAGGGCGATGAACTTAGAGAGTGAATTAGACGCGAAAATTTGGTTGTCAAACTCCGAAAAGGCATTGAAGTGTATAAAGAAGAGTACCCTAATGGTGATGTGCTAATCCGCGCAAACCATCACATGATGTAGAAACCTATGCTTGTACCAGTTGGCGCCGGCTTCCCTTCTACAAAGCCAGTTTCGGATGGGGAAAGCCAGCATGGGTGAGCATTCGTAGCATCGAATTCAAGAACATGATTGTGTTGATGGATACGAATGATGGCGCCGCCATAGAATCCACAGAGAAGCAACTTTCTGTCATACACATGAACACATTAATTGAAACATTCTAGAGAGCGAGTGATGTTGATGGAAATATGTTTTGGATTGCAAATGTTGATGGGCAAGTCGAACATGTATTGAATCTACAACAATTTGCTTCAACAATTCACTCTACTACGTTCCAGGAAAAAAGAAAAACGTAGATATTCATATACGTTCAAGATCGTTTTATCAATAAGAAATGATGTAACTTAAACATGCAGTGTTAGAATTTTACGACAAAAAGTGTACTCGTATGTGAGCTCAGTCAAGACTCGAAACGACTACCATACAATGTCTTTGTTGTTCGGTTTCTGCCGAAGTTGGGAATCAATAGGATGAGTAAGAATGCATGTGTCTTCAGCCAGCCATAGCAGCGACTAGTGCAGGACTGCGACTTTCCAAAATGTCTTGTACACTTCCTAGTCGATTTCAACTTTCGACCATTCAGAAATGCTCTTCATCTCTGAGTTTTGCTCTTCACGCTTGATCACCATATAAGAGCCTAAAATATAAACTCATCATTGCTCGTAATTATATCATATGGATTAGTAACACCATATGTCGAATTTACAACCCTCCAAATTCTGGTACTGCCGATGGTGGGCGTTTTGGGAAAATTAGTTTTTCCTTTGGTTAGGTTTTTTATTTTTCTGAAAAAAAAAAAAAGTGTTGAATATTCAATTTGGATGTTATATAACATATTTTGGGTTCCAAATGAAATTAACATGATCGATGCTATTTCATAATTTTCATATATGTAATGTAACACATGATCAACTTATTAGAAGAGATAAAAACTCACTTTTTATTTTGAATATTGTAGAAAGTATTAGAAGAGATAAAAACTCACTTTTTATTTTCAAAATTGTAGAAAGCATTAGAAGAGATAAAAACAAAATATTTTACTTTGCATATAGGAATGGACTGTAAGATATTGGAAGAAATTAATTATCTATATCCATTGCGACTGGAGAGTACAATATATATATCGCAAATGATTAATATGCAATTTCATTTTCTATCAAATTCTGCAAGTCATCTTGAAAAACCATACAATTTGCTTGCAAGCTTCTTAACTTTCAAATTTTTACATCGTAACATGCAGCTAGGATCATTGCAATGGGGAAGATCTACTTTATCGTTGGTGTTTTATTTTGCTTTGAAATATACAGATAATCGACGTCAACAAACATCTAAAATTTGTCAGAAATTCCTCATTTTCTGTCAAATTCTGTAAATCATTGTGAAAAAGCACACAATTTACTTGTAAGCTTATGAAGCAAGAAATTTGGATGATTGTTTTAGCAAATATAAAGTAATAAATTACTGAGAGATGAAAACACAATAGAATAAGATATTTTGTATTTAATACGGGATAAATAAATTTACGAGACATAAGCTTACAAATTTCCTTAATCATATGGATTGAAATTAAAAGAATGAATTCATAACACTGTTGTATTTTAAAGTTTATGTTGAAGCACACAGTAAAAGAAAATAAAAGGATTCATAATACTGTTGTCTACTGCATGAACCCAAGTTGGGTCTCATCCAGATAAATCGGTAGTTGAATGCTTTGCACTGCCAGTGAGCAGACCAAAATTTTCCAAATTGCATTTTGGTTTCCAAATTTGAGCAGTCAGTAATGTTCTTGATATATGGCTCCGAATTCTGCTCTCCATGCCTGATCATCATCTACGATTGTGTTCTGCGGAATGTCAGAGTCCTCCCGGTTTAGTGGTTGCAAAGCAGACTCTGGCAGTTTACTCTCTGCCATGTATTGCTTCATGGTGATCAGCTCCATCTTGTGTTTTCTTTTAAGCTTCTCCATTTGCTTCTTCAACTTTTCGTTCTCTTGATGCACATTCGTAAAATTCTCCTGTGTTTATGGGAAAACAGATGACAAAAACAATTAATGAGAGACACAAACAAACTTCAAGCCTTTCTATCCAAAGAACTTGGAACAACCATTAACTTGAGTGGTCTCTACGCCTGAATAATTTTGAATCATGACCCATGGAAAAGTTTTCAAGTTATCTTGAGGCTCTTTGTAAAGTACTGTAACTGTAAAATACTCAAACAGAATGGTGACTACTTGATCGCAAAATTGCCGAATGTTAGGCTTTTCCAAAGTAAGCTATATCAAGAGCACCAAGACATATGTTAAGGAGTGTGTGTGTGTGTGTGAAGTAAAAAGGGGTGTGTAGAATACACACCCCTATGTTTAAGGGTGAAATATGAGTTACCTCTGCAACTGATGCTGAATGTTCAGCTTCCCTAAGCCTAACAAGGAGTTCTCCGGCAGCATGAACAGCTTCTGCAGTATCTCTCAGTTGAATCTTGAGACTCTTGTTCTCCTTCTTCAAAAGCTCCCTCTCCCTCTCCCTTTCCACTCTCAATACTGAGAGCTCTGTTGCCAGGGATTTGGAAAAGCGAGATCCACGACCTTTTGCTCCTGCCTTTGCTGCCGCCCTTTTCACTTCTGCTATTCCTGCCATGATTGCACGGTGCTTTGCAACCAAGTCATTGTATTTATCTTGTAGTTCAGCATAGTGTTCAACCATGCGAGCATGCCCAAGGACAGATCTATGAAGTGCGTCATCCAACTCTTCAGTGCTTTGCTTCTCCAATTTCAATTCCATCTCCACTTTCTCTGCTTGCCGACGGATGGATTCAAGATCTATCCGCAAGTCATCAGTTAAGGAAATCCAATCACTCTCCATTTCTGTCCATCTCTGTCTTTCCTTCTCTAGTTCTTCATCGCTGTTATCTCGAAATGCACCACTTTTTCGCAGTTGCATGGATCGTGACAATAAAGAGGATCTCAGACTCTCAGTGGACTTGTTGGGTAATGCATCAGTGCGTGACTGCAATTTGGCCCTTAACATCTGAACTTCCTTAAGAAGTACTTCCTTCTCACCCATATCAAAATCTGCATTCCCATACCCAAGATCGAACTGAGTCTGAACTTCCTGTATTTCACATTTCTCCTTTATAATCTCTGGTTGGTGAATATCAACAGAACTGCCCCTCACAAGCTACAAAATCACCACTAACATGTAAGAGAACTTTAAACATCCAAAATTAAGGAAGTTAATATCAGAACAGGAAAAGGTTAAAAAACATAAAGCACCCCGACCTACCTTCTTTCCGTCTTTGAACTCCTCATAAGGTATCATTTCTTTACCATTTTCTGCACAACTTTTGAATTGCTCTACCTAAAAACAGAATAAAAGTCTCTGAAATGTAAGAGACACATATATGGAGAAGAAATAGTTTATTGAGGTCAAAACCGAAAGAGAAAATGTTACCAGTTGATTTAACTGCTCAATTTTAGCTGCTTGCTCCTTGCAACGATTCTCAAGCTCCTCCTTTTTAGCTTCTTCTAATCCATCCTGAATAGACGAAAAAAAAGGAAATTAATAAGGCATATTCCCAAATCAGAATTCATTCCTGAGTTTTACAGCAAGGTAAACTTAACGTACCTCAACTACTACAGTCCATGTTTTCAAGCTATCCTGGAGATTGGCATCATCTTTATACACTATTTTTTTACATGATGCACAAAGGAACGAAGAAGATGGCCCATCTGTGGATGGCCTTGTTTCTGGTAATGTTTGAGATGAAGAATTAGCTTTAACAGGTTTCAATGCCAAATGCTCAAAGGAGAACGAGACTGCAGATTTGCTTGATTTGGAGTTCTGCTGGTGGGAATCAATTATCTGCAAGCCCCTCTGGAGGCTGGCAGCCAATGACTCAGTGGGGCCTGGAAATTTCTTGCTTGAGCGCAAAGAGGATTGGATGTTTTCACTTTGGTTAAGTGAGTGTCTCAATACATCTGACTTGAACTTGGAATTGTCTGGTACATTGTTCTGACTAACTGAACAACTTGGTGCAAAAGTGACACTCTTTCTTTGTGCATTTCCAATTTTTGGAGACTCAGACAGTGTTGGGTCTTGGAGGAGTGGGGACCGACAGCATAAACTGATTGAAACACCACTTCTGTTTTCTAGACTGGTGGTGGTAGGAGAAAGGTTTTCTGCCAATTTGTTGTTGTCCTTAGGAGGAAGCTCATTCTGAGAAAATTCCAGATCAATTTCTTCAAATACGTCGATTTCTTTTTCGTCTGAACTATGAAAGTCAGGTTCCCTTATCGAGTCTGTATCACAACTTCCACGCAACTGATCAGAATCTTCACTGACAGAATTGTCCCTAATATCCTCCTCATAAGAATTATGCAGCTCATCTAGCTGCTCACGTAGTTCCCTTACATCATGTTCATCCATATTTACCTCTTCATCAGAATCATTATCTATGCTGGGTAAAATCAAGGATCGATTCAGGCTCACCCGCAATTGATTCAAGCTTTCACGTACATTTCTCCCTTGGAAATATCCATTCTTAATCACAAGCGATCCACTAGACTTTGTTCTTATAAGTTCTTCCTGCAAAACACACATTTCATATATCTCAAATTTCTATCACCTTCAACCTTTACGACAGAATTCCAGATAGAACTACAAAGAACTTGGTACCTTCAACTGGCGAATTTGATCACTCAGATCATTAACATCATCCTCTGTTATTTCATTTATCACTGGTTCATTCCTAACAGATTTCACTCGTTCTCCAAACCTTAGTGTTTGCAGTATCTCACCATTATTTCTGCATTTGACAAGCACAACCAATGTTTCTGAGGATTTACAGTACATTGACTACATGTTTCATCAGTAAATGTATGTATGCTATGCAAGTATGCATGTACATAAATGTATCCAAGCATACTAATGATAAATCAATTTTCATAGCAAAAAAGCAAATAGCAGAGTGCAGTCAAATACTTGTTATCCGGGGAAATTGCACATATGACAGTAAGTTTTGAGTTGCCACCAATTGATTCTCGCAGTAAATGCGTTAAGCAGGAAGACTTATATGGAACATCTTCAGATTTTCCAGACAGAGGTGCTTCTGCAAGAGTATTTACCAAAAGCCTGCACCAAAACAACAACATTAATCGTTGAAAAGTCACACCACTGGCCACAGACAAATGATCGACAAAGTCTAGAAATACTCAAAAGCTTTGTTATCTTTCCATAAAAGAGATCCTTGTGTATGAATAATAATTTAATGTTGAAGAAAGATTTTCTTATGTTGTCATCAGGAATGTATTCCTCATATTGTAACAATAAGTTGTCTACCATAAGGTGCCCAAGGGAAAAATTTTAAGGAATCATATAAGAAGAAGGTTGCGGAATCATACCCAAGTCTTGACAATGACTTCTTTACATATTTGTCTTCCCTCGCACATTTTCTACCTGTATCATCATCACCTTTATTTCTATCCAGGCCAGCAAGATCAACAAAACTCATCCTGCTTGTTTTTGATCTACCAAAGCACTTGGATGAGGTCTCCTGTAGAATCAAGTAATTAAGCACTATGCTCAAGTGACAGACACGAAACTAATAATTAAACCACCTTCTACTCTAGAAAAATAATGTCCCATTAGTAGAACTAAAATTTCAATGTGCATTTACCTTACACCAGGATTCGATGATGAATGTACAAACAATATGGGACCTTGAGCTCTTGGAGTTCATGCTAGTTGCTCCAACTTTTCTACTTGAAAGCCCCTGCTCCAGGTACAGAAAACTTGATGAGTATGCGAAGCAGAAAACAAGAAAAAAAAAGACATTGGGACCTCGATGGTAAATAGAAAATTGTACGCATATAGCTCACCTTAATCAAAATTTGTGTCACATCCTCATAGCTAGTCACATACTCCTCAGTCAGATTCTCAACATAAAATCCATTTTTGGGGTCATCCTTAATCTAAAACAGATTAAAGTAATACCCATTAGTATCTTAAGCATTTACTAATGAACCAAAAAAATTGAAAAAAAGCATCAGTGAAAGAACTTAATATTAAAGAAAACCTCCACCTCAAGGTTCCGCAGGGTTGGATTAAGTAAATCTCCAATTTGTTCATTAAATATCTGTGGTAGAGAAAAATTTACAAACCACATTACTAAATAAGGATCCTAGGCTATATATTACAGAAAGAATTTAGAAAACGTACGAACAAGTGTACCTCGAGAAAAGAACAACGGAACTGGTAATTCAACTGTTTCCCTTCAGAGTTCTCTTGCTCCTACATGTACAAATCCCAAACAAACATTCATGAATACATGTCAATACACACCTGCTTAGTGCTTTCGCAACTTTCCAGCTATAGAACTAAACAAGAAACCAAAAAGCGCACCTTCTGGATCTCAGAAAACAACATTTGGAAGATGCGTGGAACAATGCCTTGGCAACTTCCAGGAGAGGCATCCTCAACCATAGCACTCGGCGGACCCCATAGCGTGTATGTCTTGCCACTTCCGCTCTAAAGAGAATTCAATAAAAGATATTCACACAACAAATACAAATTTTCCCACTTGAAATGACGTTCATCCATGGATATGAATTCGTACCTGTCCATATGACAAGATGGAAGTATTGTAACCGGCTAACGCATTTTTAACCACAGGCACACCAACCATCTGAAAAACATCTTCCTGTACGAACCAAAAAGTAGCCATGAATCAAAATCCACTTAACTTTCGTTTTCGAAGCTAAGAAGAGTAACAGAAATCCAATTCCTCACTCCTCATCTTGTTCAGGTTTCACCTACTCAGAGTTTAAAAATGGAATTCCACACTAATCAAAGAATCATACCTGTCCGGATTTCGAATCAAAAACCGAATCAAATGAAAATGTACGGTCCCCAACGGACAAACTGCGCGAAGAAACCTTGTTAACTGTCCGATCTCCCCAATTTGCACCATCTTTAGTAGGTCTAATTCTCACCACAACCTATACAAATTTAAAAAACCCAAAGAAAATAAGAAAAACAAAAAGTAATGATACAAAAGATAAGTAAATGAATGAAAACTCAAATTTCAATTACCTTCACTGATGGGTCCAGAGGTGGCAGGAGTTCACCCTGACCGTTGGATCGATCAATCACACTCTGAAAATTAAGCAGTTTCGAAAATTAAGCTTCTAATTTTCAATTTTCAAATTGCTTAGGTTCTTAATTCTCAGATTCCGAATTTAGACAATAAAAGTAAACAATAGTTCATAAATACCTTCACCGTTGGCGAGTTAAGAGCAGCCGACGCTTGTTCCTGGCCGTCCGATTCTGTGATCTGAGATTCGGACAGATCGGAGAGTACAGGCTTGATTGGCGAAGCGGAGGAGTCGTCGCCAGCGTGGTGATTGGTCTGGATGTTGGGACTGAGTGGAGGAGTATTTTCGGAGTTAGGGCTTCGAAGATTGAAGATGGATTTGCTCTTCTTGGTGGAAGTGGATCTGGGAAGGAGGTTTCGGAGCGAAGAAGCCGAAATGGTTCCTAAAAAACGAGACTCGCCGGCGCTGTCAGTGTTTTTGTTCTTCGTCCTCATTGTTCTAAGATCACAAGCAATCTAGAGAGAGGGGAGAGAGAGAGAGAGAGAGAGAGAGAGAGAGTTTGAATTCGAAAACGTTGGAGAGAGAGGGAGGAGAGCGTTGTTTTTTTAAACGTGGAGGAGGAGAGGGATTATGACCGTTGAGAAAGATGATTTTGATATGTTTTTAGGGGTTTTCAAACTTCATTTGAATCGAACTGGTCCCGTCCAAAAACCTAAATGTGTTTTTAGGGCTTTTTCTTTGAGGTATGATATCAAATCATTTTTATTTTTAATATTTTTCAAACTAATGATTAATTCAAAAAATAGCAAAATGACTGAAGTGAGAAAATATGTAAAAATTTATGTCGATATTTAAACCATATTTTTTTTTTTTTTAATGGATGATTCTTCTCACTAGATATTAGTAAGAAGTTGGTATATATCGTAGACCGCATACAACATATAACAGTCATATTTATAAAATTCTCAAATTTTTTTTGTCCCACAAATTAACGAATCCACTTCAAATATAGTAAACCATAAAATGGAATAAAATTTTCCTGTGAATGTATTACACTTGTAATCCAAAATTTTATTTTACTTTATGGTTTTGTTCTTTTATCTTCAGTTGTTGATAAAAAAAAACTCGTTATTTTTATATTTTAAAACTAAAATCTCCTATAATTTTGTTTTCTCAATGTAAATATAATTTTTATTTTTTTTAAATATAATTTTTGAAATAGGGCTCAACTTAAAAGGACAAATTAGTCAATTTGCCAGATAGTTCAAATTAGTAGCCGTTACTACAGCTCAGGCGCGGTCACATGAAGGAAAAGGCTTGGATCGGGTTAACAGGCCTGCCTAGTCTACAAATGAAGGAAACGGATTGGGCTTCTGTACCCGAAACAAAGTGAAAAAGTGTGAACTTCTTGAATGAGAGCCCACGTGAGTTTAAACCTATTCATTTACCTTGGCCCAAATATAAAACATTGGATTATCAAACGATTAGGTTTTAAAGAAAAACTAGAATCTTAACCATGTCGTAGCCTTGGAACGTAGAAATCTTTCATCCAAACATAGCCTAATTTTCAAAGCCCAAGTATACAAAGGAGGACAGTACTTGCATCCACCACCCATGGATACTTTCACTGTACAAATTCATAACTGACAACGTCTTATTCAAATCAGACATCGTTTAAGCATGACAATTAAAATCTGTTTTCACTTCTAAACAAACGAAAGTACAAACCAAAAATTTTAAAGCAAAATATGTTATGAAATGGCACCTTAGAGTTCTGGTAGTGTTTTCCTGACAGCCTAGGCATTTGTATTTCATGCGAAGGTGATTGTTGAGAATAAATTTCATATAGATGAAGAAGAGATCTTGCATGGACTTATAAGTAAGTTGGGTTATACTCTATATATTGCCGATTGATTTTATAGTGTAACCTAAAATTTCTTCATATTATCAAAGCATGTTGTCCTCATGGGAAACTCAGCTGCCACACATGCTTCATATCACTGCATTTGTATTGTTCACGTGTTTGGCTTGAATATTCGCCACACATCAGAAGGCGTTTTGAAAGGACCTTAAATAAGTTGGATTACTCTTCATAATGCCAATCAGATGGTGAAAACCTTAACTTTCTATAATGATACACGTGTGCCGGGATGCATTAGCATAAAAATTATGATATGAACTCCTAGCTAACACCTAAATGTACTCACAAACAAACAACTTAAAGGATTGCGACCAGAACGATTTAAGATGAGGGAGAGCAGGTTTCTTCTTTCTTGTCTTCCTCATAAATTTCATCATTCTTTTTTGTAAGTTCGTCTTCCCAGTTCCCCACTCACCAACTTCCAACAAGATCAACTCCCAACAGAAGAAGTAATTAAATTTCAGCACTCCTTTATACATATTACGCTTCGAAATAATGATTTTCATTTATCGTAAATTGATTTATAATAACATGATCTTCCAGCTGATTAAGTTATAGGAACTTTCGACGCTGGAAAATACCAAAAGTATAGCCGTTAGTGCAGCACTTAGTCTAAAAAACAATGATAAGTATGGGAATATTGCTTGCATGCGTATTAGGGGTAGTGCAAAAAGACTTTAGATAAAACGGGAATGTTCTGCAACTTGTTTAATCAGTGATGGCATCCGTTTATACTAATTAGGAAATTGGGAATGTGGGATTAGGTGAGTATAATCTGCACCACGTGAACTCTAAAGTCAAAAAGCAGCCTTTAAATATTGAAGAACAACGTCCCCAACTGGATAAAAGGACCATCAGTATTCCACGATTTCAACTAGAATGATTTATACGTCAACTAGTATGTCCACATTGTGATATTTTTCTTTATTAATAAGTGAAAAATCTTAAGTTCGACTCAAATAAATGATGACGACATATTATATTTCTGTTGAGTTATATATTTAGTTACTGACTCGTTTATTTTCTAGCCTAACCCAATTCTCACCTATTCCTCTCCCCTTACAATAGATTATCGTCGTATAAAAAATAAAAGGACTCATATGAAACGGTTCATAGGATTCTTTATATGACAATGAATTATTGAGTTCATGGGATTCTTTACATGACAATAAATTATTGAGTTAAGAAGGTTTAAGATAGTGAACTCATTACATATAAATCTTCATTATTTTCTAAATGCGTGTTTGATTTAAGTAAGTTATCTAGAAACCCTAGCTAGATAATATATATTATTGGTTTGTGTTGAAGAAGAGTCAAGATTTGCTGACATTAATTTGTTTGAAGACAACGAACAGACAAGAGAACTGAATAGAAGCACCTACTTGTGTCTCTCTTGTTCTTCACTATGACGAACGAACAAAGCACATAGGAAACTCCGTCTGTGAGCCACTACCATAGCACTGTCATTTGTCAAGAATTTATTCGAGTTACGATGCAACTGATCAATTTGTACGTGGCCCAATTGGACTTTGTAATATTCGAAATTTTGCTTTTTTTTTTTTTTTTTTTTTGTTTGTTTGTTTGTTTTTTTTTTGTTTTTTGTTTTTTGAGCAAAGGTAACGTGCATTACCAATAACAAACATTACAACACAGATGCCCAACAATAAAAAAACACAAACAAACAACAGTGGCCCAACAAAAAGTTGAGACCAAAACAAAGAAACCACAAAAACAACCGGAGCTGCTGCGTCTTTCGCCATAATTGCCGCTGCAACCACCAAAGCAGCAGCAATGCATGTCGATCCAGCCAAATTCACTCCCCAAACAAAGCCTCGCCTCACCGATACCAACAACCAATTCCAAGCTTCACTCCAAGCCCAGCTACAGATACCTGAGAACCTGCAACCAAGGGCAGACAGCAAAGAGAAGGTGGGGGTGCAAGGAACACCTGACCTCGTGCAAGCACCAGATCAAAGCACACCAACTCGAAACACCGCAACAAATCGCGGTAAAGGGTGACTGAAGCTTGGAAATTAGATGAATATGGATGAGAGACAGCAGAGGGGAGAGAAGAAGGCAAATCGGCCAATAAAACCAGAGAAGAAAACAACAGATGGAAGAGTAGAAAAAGAGGGAGAAAGAAACAAAAGAAACCCACCGATCCCAGCCAAAGCTAGGATTGGCGGCACCATAATTGGACTCAATCGGGAACCACTCACACAAATCGGTGAGATTAACCCTCACATAGAGGGAATGTCTCTCACGGAGAGAGAAAGGAAAGCTTTCTTTTTTTTATTCGAAATTTTGCTTTTGGTTCGTTTAATATGTGAACACTACAACTTATTGGATGAGAAGAAATTCTTACATAATATTATATATATTTTCATATTTTTATAGAGTGAAGTGCCGATTTAGTCTCTGAACTATCACCTTAGTGAAAATTAGGTTACTTAATTATTTTTTTGGTAAAATAAGTCCCTAAATTCATTAAATATTGCTAATTTCATCCTTACTAATATGTTCAAAGCTATTTTATCCAATTTTTCGTCAACTTAAGTTACTCGACACACTTTAGAGTGTAATACCGTTATTTTCTCACCTATAAGTTCTTAACATTTCATATAGGTTGCTAATTTAATATCTAATTTACTCTCCAAAGTTAACTCCATACATATTTTTCTAGGAATAGTTACCAATCTACCATTTAATATGCATCACATACAAGTGACATGACTTAAATTGACGCAAAATTGAATATAGTAGCTTCAAATCTAATATTAGGGATGTAATTGGCAGATTTTTATAGTTTAATGACTGATTTTTCTGAAAAAAATAATTTACAAACCTAATTTTTACTTATATGATAATTTAGGAACTAAATAAGCACTTCACCTTACTTTTATATTACTTTTTGCCGTGTGATCCAGCTGGGATCATCTTTTCGTATATATTTTTATTGTCATGCAATAAGTACCATAAAAGATATATATTTCGGCCATACTTCTAAAATCACAAATGGGTTAGGATTAAGGCCTCTAATCTTGCGGTTAATTAGTAATCACTCCACATTATTCCCAAGTTGACAAGGCGTATCTTGGATAATGCCAATGGTAATTGATTAAAAATAAACCCTAACGAACACAAATCAAATAAAAAGTCACTAATCCGTTTTGCTTTGGAATGAATAGTTAAATGGTACCGAATAGTTGAAACATAATTTATTAGTGTATAATATATGCTTTAGCATCTTATTAAGCACTGTATAAACACTCTTCAAAAGCCTCATCAGACGCCAATTACGGCATGCAATACTCCCAAAAGCTAAAAACACTATTTGATTAAAGGTATAATGACAAACGAATAACACTTTTACTCATCAAATATATCCCAATAGCTAGCTTAGGTCTCTATCCAATCCATCCACACCGTCCTAGAAACAGTAATGCTACATTTATCACATTTTTAATATCACGTTTGAATTATTTCTCTAATAAAATAAGGTCTACTAACACATATGAATCTCGTCTTTATTAGATAGGTGATACAAATGTGATATAAAAATTGTGATAAAAATAACATGTTTACCCTAGAAATTAGAAAAGATAAGGACATAGACAAATGTTCAAATGAGGAAGCAAACTCTCACATTGCATTCAATGTATTACAGGGGCACACTACTAACGACACAAATAATTGTTATGTATTTAAATAATATATTATACGTCTGTTAAATAGTTGTTCGTAGCGTCACCATTTGCAAGAACGATTGTCTTGTCAATGTAAATTTTTCAACACATTATTATTTTAATAGATTGCAATGTTATTATAGTGGTGAACAAAATTTATGTAAATTGCTCTTGTCAACGAGAGAGAAAAATAAAAGGGGAAAATGT